TCGAACACTATATGTAGATATTGTTGAAGGCTTTGCACATCTAATTTCTTGCTTTCCCAATAAGATACCACGACACCTTCAAAAAGCATTTGCAATTGATAGTAAACCGATTTTCAGCTGACCTTTGCATCTCAATAAGCTTATATAATCCCATTTGAGACCTATAACCCTACATAAGCATTATATACCAAGCACCCTTAGCACAAATGACAGTTGAATACGTAAAATATATCAATTTAGCTTTAACTAGGGGATCCAATTTTATGCAACTATATTTCTTGTGGAAACAGCGTAAGTGACTTATTCCAGTATTTAGTTGGCCAGATCGCTTTTGATTAAGCCTTTTTATGGCTCTAACTTTGATAAAAGGGGGATTACACCACTAATTATGTCCATTTTCTTATCTTCAGTTGTCACCATTGCCTAATTATATTGAGCCTTCATTATTTTCAATTACGATAATATCCTCCAATTTCTTAAATCGCATTTTCAGTACAAATGACTTTAAACAAACCGAGCTGCTCATGGACTTCAAGTCTTTGTGAAATTCACTGATTGAAGAAGATTTACGTCTTTGATTTCTAGTAAAATTGTTTTGTGAAGAGATTCGAAGCTCGATTACCCCGAGAGAAGACGGCGCATTCCTCTTGATCCGCTGTCATTTGGCTTATGAAATGAAGCTGGGTTTCAAAAATCCCTTAATAGATTGATACTGGCGTACCTTTCATTTCGTTTAAAAAGGCAAGTTGAAGGGATTCGCAGCTTGGCCTCACCAGATACCCCTGGAAGGTTTCCTTGGACTTTTGTCTGTTGAATTGTTTGAAGAAGAACTCGGCTCACCGTCTCACGACCCAGATGACTCCGTGTTGGATTTTCATCCATCATCTGAAGAACATCGTCAGAGCCAGAAACAATTATTCATGAAAAAATGACCAAAAAACAAAAAAAACGAGACAGGTGGCCAGCTGAGATCCTATTTACTTCTTAAACCTCACTTTGCGATCTTAACGAGGCATTACTTCATTTGGTTGGCTGACGTATGCTTGTTAAGTGGATCAAAGTGATGCAGTATTCATGGGTGTTGTTAGAGCTACGTGGATGCATGCTTGCATGTTATGCAACACCCCCGAGTTAGTTGACAAGTTTAGGTTCGAAAACAGGCCCAGCTTAGTCTAGTCTTCTAGTCTTATTTAGAGGCTCTTCCTGTTCCCTCTCTCTCTCTCTCTCATTCTATTTTAATGCCAGAGATAGTTCTTACTTAGTTACTCACATTAATTCCTCCAATTCAGGATGTTGTTTGTTTTGTTAATTTCGATTGACTCCCTGATCTTCCGCTTAGTTATTAAGTCCCTATATCCGGAAAAACGTAGGGATTTAGGCCACTCTATCTGGTGTCCTGTAGCGACCACAGCCACTTCCGATTTCTGAATCCATAAACTTTGCAGGAGGTTCTGCGTTATGATAGCCTCTTGTGTATGGGTCGACAAGTCCCCCCCACATAAACACTACCACATGGGCATAAAACCTTATAATAACCTGATCTGTAGAGGGCGTCGGATGATTCTCTAAGAGAAGGTATGATTGAGGAAAGCGTTATTGGTTCTTTATAGATTGTCTTGATACTCCATTTCCTCAATAATTCGCATAGCTTTCTTGAAAGCCTGCAGGATGTTAGCATTAGAAACCTGGACGATGAGTTATCTAATTCCTTGTTTGGGCCAAAATGATGGTTTTCTTTCACCATATTTCTCAATATTTCGAAATTGTTAACACTTAATTCTACAGAATAATTGTCCTCAACAAAAATTTTTCTTAGCCTTTCTAACTCCTGTTCTTGAGGATTTACGTCCGCTAGACGAAAACTCCTATCTTAACAATATAAGTATGGTTCGAGAAGAAACTAAGAGGGAAACCATCATTTGTGGGTTTTCGATATACATCTACACCCAGTTTGCTTCCTTTTTTACCAACTAGGACATCTAAAAAGGGTAACTTATTTTATTTTTTGAACTCCATATTGAATTTCCTCGCCTTATCTACTCTTTCGTTAATACAAAGAAGTCTTCCAAACACTCTCTGCCTGTTGCCAGATAGCAAAGTAATCATCCATTTATCTGACCAATAGTTTCGGAACCAGGAGTGATTCTTGAAAAAGCTGGACTTCCAATTAAGACATGCAGTTATTAGCCAAAACTGGAGGCAAACACGACCCCATAGCTAATCCTACTGTTTGTTCGTATAATTTACCATTGAAGATAAAATGTATACTATTCATTATTAAGTTCGTTAATCGCATGATTGACTCCTTGCTCATCCCATTTACTGATATTATCTCTGGGTATAGATTCCTGTATGGCCCCACTAATCACTACATTCGTGTACATCGATACTACATTAAAACTTACTAGCAAATCTTCTTATTCTATTATTTGCTTGCCTATTAACCTTATAAAGTCATATGAATTCTATATTAAAATTTTCCCAAAATCTGATATCAACTTTAATTGACCACAAAGGAATCATGATCCTAAGTGGGACCCACTCTTTGTGGATTTTGTGCATACCATATGCATTAGGGGGTCGGTCTAGCGTAACGTTGGATAAGTGTATTCATTTTCCATTTCTACAATTCTCCACTATTAACGTACTGTTGTAGGCAACTCTCAAGTCTCGAATTTCGTGTTTCTGTAGGGTCCCTAGTTATCATTCTGTACGTATCAACATCAGCTAAAGCCAGCCTCCTCTTTTCTATATAATCAGTACTATACATTACTACATCTGCTACTTCTTTGTCTGCCCATAAAACTATTTGCTCGTTTTGTTTAAGCT